GGTCACTGAAGAGGAATTTCAGTCGTGGCCTCCAAAGGCCTGTTTGCTTTTTCAACCTTCTGGGTTGGCCTCCTTGATGGGGCCACGGAGCGCTGGTGGGAGGGCCTCAGCCCTGGGCCACAGGGGCCTCTGCCCACCCCCTTGCCGGTGTGTCCTTTCTGGAAGCAGAGGAGGGAACTCGAGAGGACAGAGTGAGGGCAGGTGTGTTTCCCCGGGTAGCCGCGTGGTGCTCCGCCCACATGGAACCGGGGCAGCCCTCGGTGGCAGGTGCCGGGAGCATCCCCTGAGCGCCAGGACGGCGGGGTCCTCCTGAGGTCTGCAGCCCAGGAGAGCAGAGGGACGTGACACAGGGGTGTTACCTCTGCTCATGGAAGGACGCATCTACGAGGGCAGCAAGGTCACGGCACATGGGTCGGAGGTGAACGTGCTGTGCCCCGGGGACCCCGTCGTTAGCTCCGTTTGTCACCTGCCGTTTGTCAGGACTGGCATGGATCAGAAGCTGAGGGTGGCTGGGTCGTGGCCCCGCTATGCACCAGTCTGCCCTGCGATCCTGGGATGGTCACTCCCCTTCTCCACACCTGCTCACTTTCGAAATAAAGGGCCCTAGCCCCGTGTTGTTTATGGTCCCTTCTAGCTCTAAAATCAGACAGTTCTGAGGATTTCAAAAGTGGTTACTTAGAGAACTCTCATGTTTGCTTTTGGCGATGACGATGTTGAGTCTGAAGCATGCAGAACCGCCTCCTCCCCTCCCGCCCCCTCCTCTGGGCTCATCCCATTAGGTTCACCCGGCACCCTGCAGACACCTGGCGGGACTGGCCCTGGTCTCTGTCAAGGGGGCTTGCTGCTGGCAGTGTTGGGCTGTGGCCTTTGGAGGGTGAGCCATGGAGGCCTGGGGGTCCCTGCAGGGTGCGGGGCAGCAGCATTCCTGCTGGGTGCTGAGGATGCAGGCTTCGAGCCTCACACCTCCCAGCAGCCCTGTTGGAATCTGGGGTCTTGAGTCTTCTGAGCCTGTGTCACAGGAGGGCCATGGCCTTCCTGCCCCGGGAAGGCAGGGGTGCAGACAGGGGCTGTGCAGGTGACCACGGGATGGAGACAGACCAGCCCAGACCAGCACCTGTCCCCAGAGATCCCCAAGCCCAGGGGCTGTTGGAGCCCATCACCGTGGGGGACAGTGCTGATGGTCACCTGACGAGGTAAAGGTGCTGCGATGCCCCTGCTCATCCCGCCCCGGGCCTGGGCTCTGCTGGAAGCCTGTTACCTGGGAAGGGACCCAGGGTCCTGGAGATCTGGCAGGTGGACAGGACGGCACTGGTGAGGACTCCCTGATGGCAGAGCAGCTGTGGGTACTGCTCCGGCCTAGGGGCCCCAGGACTCGGGGGACGGAGGAAAAGGTCCCTGCCCGTGGCGGCTCTGGTCTTGAGTGGCCTGGTGGAATCCGAAGGCACGTTACGGTTCCAGGTCCGGAGAGCAGGTTCTGATAACCCACAACCCGGAGGCCACCGGAAGCCATCCTGTCGTCGGCGCGGAGGGACAGAGCCAGGGCTTCAGATGCAGTCTTTGCCCATAGCAAGTGTTTGGGAATACGTGGAGCTTGTTTAGGGAAGAGCAAAAAAATAAAATAAATAAAATAAAATAAAATAAGATATAAAAGGAGAGGACCTTGAGCCCAAGGCCGGCACACGTGCAGCAGCCTCGTGCAGAAGGTGGGGCCGTGTGCCGCCTCCTGGAGGCTCACTGGCTTGGTAGCCGTGTGACCCGCTGGTGGTCAGGCCACGAGGGCCCTGCGGTCGCCGATGGGGGCTGCTTTGGTGCCTCGTATCCTCGGCCCCCTGTGGCGTGGAGTCCCGCCATCCCGGGTCTGGAGGGGCGCCGGGCAGCTGGCTCGCAGAGTGATTGTGGAACGTGCTTCTGGGGGTGGCAGAGGTCATCCTAGTGGGGTTGGTGGACACACTGCCCCCGGCCGTGTGCCCGCCAGTTGTAAAATGTGTCTCCGGTCCCTCTTCGTCCTGCTCTGGGCCATTCGCCCCTGCACCTGCTCGCCGGCAGATCAGTTGGTCGATCCCTGCTTCTGTATCCGAGGGTCACTGCTGTCACCCCTGCGTTTCTTTCCAGGGTCCTCGCGCTGCCTCGTGGGCACATGGCGCCAGTGCTAGGACCCTGCCTGCCCCCCAAGCCTTCCCGCTGCCGGCCAGGGTGTCCGCGGAGTGGTTTTCAGCCGTTCTCACGCTGAGAGGCGCCAAGTGCCCTGGTTTCCCAAGAAACCGCCTTTCGAAGAGGAGGCTCCTGTGTCAATGGAAGGGAAGTCCACGAAAGTCCTGTCCTGCCAGATGCCTCCCAGGCCCTTCCCACACCTTTTATAAAACTTAAAAATATTTTTTAGCTCTGGCACAGGGAGCCCCTGGCCGGCAGGAGGGGTGGCGTTGGGCCTGAATGGCCTGGTGGCCTTTTCAACTTGTTTAGCAGAGACCTATAAACATGTCCCTGAGGCTTCTGGAAAACAGCTGTCTCCCATCAGCAATCGAGAAAACAGGTTTGCAAGCTGCCCATCTGGGAAGAGCATCACCAGCTAGTGGGATGCGAGCCCAAGAAACCCCAGCTGGGATCTTTGATCCCTCCCCTGGCCACTGCCCGCCTTGGAACTGAGTCTCAGAGATGAGCCAGAGCTTGGGGCCGTGTCACTGTGACAGGTGAGCTGGCGGCTGGCATGGCCCGTCTCTTCCCACGGCCCGAGTCCAGGCCTGGCCTCTGCCGGCACCTGTGTCTGATGTCAGGTGGACGGGCATCTGGCGAGGGCTGCGGGGGACCCCGTAGGAGGGGTCACCGGTGCCGAGTGCTTTGGAGGAGGGGCTGACTACCCTGTGTGGCGGCCGGGCCTTGGGTAGGAGCCGAGAGCCACCTTGGAAAATCACAGAGGCCACAAGAGGCCATGATTCTGTCCATGAGTGGATTCTGTCCATGTCTGGACCGGGAGTGTCCTGGGTCCCCACGCTGTCCCTTCCTTAAGGGTTTCTGCAGCACAGCTGAGTTGTAGAAATGACAGTGCTGGGGGCAGAACTCTGGGATCTGGGTAGCATGGTGTTCTCAGGGCCTGGCCCAGGCTCCTGTCCCCCCCATCCCAGCGAGTCATGGTGTGGCGAGGGTGGTCCCGATGGTGCCATCTGCACCTGCCAGGGCACTGTCCACGGCCCTGAATGCCACGGCCCGGCCCTGCTCCAGGCCTGCCCTCCTGGGCGACGGGCCTCTGTCAGGGCCTTGCTGGATGAGCAGGGAGGGGGCACAGGCTTCAGGGTCCCCACGTGCCCCCCATGGTCATGCTGAGCTCCGGGCGCAGCAGCTGGCTGCAGGATTCCTGGGACTGGAGAAGGGGAAACCGATGCTGGTGGTGGGGGGGCTCCTTTCTCACCTCCAGATCCTCCACGCTTGTTAGCAATGTGGGACTTCCCTCTCGAGTGAGTCTCAGGCATGTAGTCAGCCCTCTGGGGAGGGAGGCCGGTGAGCCGGTGGGCTGAAGAGCCTGCTGTCAGCCTCTCTGTCACCCCCGCAGTGGGTGCTGGTTTTACAGTAGCAGGTGGTAGAGTCTCACCCGAGTTGCCCTAAATATAAGGACAAACTTACTGGCTAATGTAGATGCATCTTCTTCAGGCATGGCTTGATCCAGGGGCTCAAGCAGTGTGGCAGGAGTCTGTCTCTCCCTCCCAGGAGAGGGCCGCCTGCAGCTCCCAATTCATAGTCCATGTGTGGGGCCAGCAGAGCACAGAGGATTCTTCTTTCCCAAAGAAAAGACCCAGGATGGAGCTTTGTCAGGCCACCTGGGGTCCACCTGGGGAACCAACCACCTGGGACAGGGAGGTGCTGTGCCCTGATTGGCCCAGTGGGGCTCACGTGCCCAGCGGTGGGGGCGGGGCCAGTCCCCACTCCCAGCCCCAGCCCCACCCCCACCCTGCAGGCAGGTGGGTGCTGGACACTGGGATCCCCGAAACCCCAGGGTGGCACCTGCTGCTCGCATGGCCTGACACTCTGACTCCAAGTTGGAGTTTATTTTCTCTGCCGGGACCAGTGGGGCCTCTTGTTTGTAGTAATGGGAGCTTTCCCCATGAAATCACCTGTTTGGGGCAGGTGTGTGGATCCCAGGCGTGTGGTCCTCAGAGCCTGGAGGTCCCCACTCTTCCCGATGTGAAGGAGGAGGCATGGGCACGGGGAAGCCGACTCTTGCTGACGAAAGTGCCCTGGCTTCCATGAGAATGCCCTCAGGCCCTGCTGCCCTTCTCTGAGGAGCCCCCGATGGAGGGTCTGGAACTTTCTGGAAGGGATGCACTGATCTGCTCCTCCCTTGTCCTTGGTTCTGCACTGTTTTACCTGGTAGGCAGAGGTCTTCTGGGGGAAATGGAAACTGGCTCTTGCTGTAAACAGTGATGGGGAAATCACATTTTCATCGGGTGACTATGGGGGATAAAATGCGCCAACGGTCTCTGCGGTTCTCGTCTTGGTCACACGGGATGTGCCGACCCCAGAGCCGCACGGCAGAACCCACAAGCTGCCAGTGTCCCGCTCCGGAAGACCTCCCTCCCTCTGCAGCCACTCCCATCAGCAGCGGGGTCCTACCAGCCTCGCGGCTTGCATTTGGGTGGCTTTCCCACGACGGGGTGGGAAAGGGTGTCTGGGAGCTGGACCCATCCAGCACCTGCCAGTGGAGGATGACAGAGTGGAGAAGCCAAGTCTGCAAACTTGGTGGGGGGAAGGCCACAAGGGGCACAGTGAGCGACAGTTCGCTCCTGGTGCGTGGCCGCGGCAGGAGCTGGGCCAGGAGCGCGGTTCTGGGGACCCGGACGTGTGCACTTCTCAGAGTGGGCCACCCCGCGCCCCTGAGCCCCTGGTCACAGCTGGTTCTGAGCTGGTTCCCATTCCCTTCAGCCCTCCGTGCACTCCCTGGCAGGTGGTCTGTGCTGTGTGCTGCTTCTTCCCGCCTGGGGCTAACCCTCCACCTCCCTTTGCCATTTCAGCTCAGCCAGCAGATCTCCTGAAGGTCCTAGATTTTCACAACTTGCCCGATGGAATAACAAAGACAACAGGCTTTTGTGCCACGCGGAGATCTTCCAAAGGTCCAGATGTCGCTTACAGAGTCACGAAGGATGCCCAGCTCAGTGCACCCACCAAGCAGCTGTACCCTGGTAAGAGGCGTGTGTGTGTGTGTGTGTCCTGGGTGGTGGGACCTGAGCCTGTGTCCTGGGTGGTGGGACCTGAACCTGTATCCCAGGTGGCGGGACCTGAGCCTGTGTCCCAGGTGCAGGGTGGTGGGACCTGAGCCTGTGTCCCGGGTGGCGGGACCTGAGCCTGTGTCCCAGGTGGCGGGACCTGAGCCTGTGTCCTGGGTGGTGGGACCTGAGCCTGTGTCCCGGGTGGCGGGACCTGAGCCTGTGTCCCAGGTGG